ACTCTGACCCTCTATACAGAACTGACCCTCTCTACAGACTCTGACCCTCTCTACAGACTCTGACCCTCTATACAGAACTGACCCTCTCTACAGACTCTGACCCTCTCTACAGACTCTGACCCTCTATACAGAACTGACCCTCTCTACAGACTCTGACCCTCTCTACAGACTCTGACCCTCTATACAGAACTGACCATCTATACAGACTCTGACCCTCTATACAGAACTGACCCTCTCTACAGACTCTGACCCTCTATACAGAACTGACCATCTATACAGACTCTGACCCTCTATACAGAACTGACCCTCTCTACAGACTCTGACCCTCTATACAGACACTGACCCTCTATACAGACCCTGACTCTGTATACAGACCCTGACCCTCTATACAGACCCTGACTCGGTATACAGACCTTGACCCCCTATACAGACACTGACCCTCTATACAGACCCTGACTCTGTATACAGACTCTGATCCTCCAGACAGACCCTGACTCGGTATACAGACCCTGACCCTCTATACAGACCCTGACTCGGTATACAGACCTTGACCCCCTATACAGACACTGACCCTCTATACAGACCCTGACTCTGTATACAGACTCTGATCCTCCAGACAGACCCTGACTCGGTATACAGACCTTGACCCTCTATACAGACCCTGACCATCTATACAGAACTGACCCTCTCTACGGACTCTGACCCTCTATACAGACCCTGACCATCTATACAGAACTGACCCTCTCTACGGACTCTGACCCTCTATACAGACCCTGACTCTGTATGCAGACTCTGACCCTCTATACAGACTCTGACCCTCATACAGACCCTGAACACTCTATACCAGGGTTGTCAAACTCTTTTTCATCGAAGGCTGCATGAGCGTTATGTTGGCCCTTGAAGGCCCAGTTGTAGTTAACTTTGCTGTTTCATGTTTAACTTAGACTAAACAGTGTTTTGACATGTCCTCTTTTAAACACTGATTAGAACTAAGTGTATGACTGACTGAATCTGAAATAAATACAGAAATATTATTAAAAGTAAAACTAACAAAGTTTTACTCACTTACTTTCTAGTGAGTAGCTAGTATGCATTTATGGCAGATTTAGTTTATGGTGGATGCTGACTTTAAAGCAGCTTATTTTCAGACTGAGCTATCCAACTAAATTGCTCAGTTACTTAAAGCCAACAGCTCAGGGGTACGACAATTGTTATCTTTCATCTTTTAAATTTATTTTGCTGCATTTAATCATAAATTACACCAGTTCAGTCAGTTCACCATTGATATAAGAAACAATTTTTGTTTTAAGTAAAAATTTGGGGGGGGGGGGGTGCACCCAGCCCCCACCCCCGTGGGCTACACTGGAGTCACTAGTGGGCCAAATGTGGCCCCTTGAGTTTGACAGGTATTCTTGACACATGTGAACCCCCATACAGACCCTGACCCCCATACAGACCCTGACTCTCTCAATGTGAAGCTCAGCAATCTATTTTACATTTCAGACAAGGTGGGCTGAATGACACAATCTGCCCCCTACTTCCAAATTAAACTTTAAAATCTAAAACTTGATTTTGGTTGAGTTAATGTGGTTCCTCTCCTCCTTCCCATCATGTGAAACCACATTTGGTCGCTCTGATGAAAGTGACATGAGATGAGCGCTGCTGGATACAGGTGGGGTTTCGTATCGGCTCCTCTGGCCTTTTTACAGCACAGATTGGAAACTCTCAGAACCCTGGTGTTTCATTTGACTTCCTGTTGAACTCTGACTTTCTGAACAGGAACAGAGATGAAATAATGATAAATAAAGCACAGAGGTGGATGCTTTAGATTGGAAACAGAAACTTTGGTGCCTGTTAAACCTGTCAGGGGGCTTTTTGTTTCTGGGTTCTTGTTCTTGTTGAAACAAAACCAGAAGAAATGAAAGAAGTTTGATGCAGAATAAATGTGAGCAGGTTTCAAGTCAAACCAGACATCATGTTCTGTAAACTGTGTATTTTGCTGTGGGCACTAGATGGCAGCTCAGCATCTGTTTATCCTCATTACAGTTAGAAACACAGTGGATCTCCATCACTTCATATGACTTCAGGAAGTCAGGGTTTTCTGTGTGTAGTTACTGAACACTTTGACAAAATAGTAGCTGTTTAAACAAAATCCTGCTAAATGATGCATTTGGTTGGACAGTAAATAAACTGAAACTTACCCTGACATTGTCTGTTAGTCAAACTAATAAAACAGAAAATTTGTCACAGATTTTTTGAAAATGTTCAAAATTTACTTTGGAAATTGGCGAATACACTTTACAATTTGTCCCAATCTGTCCTCCCACCATCCACAGCGGAAACAGGACAACTCACTTCCTGTTAGCACCCCCTCTGAATGTCTTCAATTTCTGGGAAGATGCTGAAAGGTTTGATAACACAGGACACACATTTTTGCTGATTCTGTGCGTCCCTCAGCGCAGCTCACTGTAGGAGGTGAAGTGTTTCTGAGAAGCACTTGAGATGTTTTCATAGAAACAGACTGAGGAGCTGCTGTCGTGTCTGAGACCACCTGGGGTTCTGCTCTGTAAGGCTTCTTTTAAATTCTTAAAACAAATGACAGGAAAAGACAAAAGCACCTCAGTGACTTCTCTGCTTGCTCCTTACAACGTACCAAAATAATCCAGCTGCAGATGTGACTGTAACATGTCAGTGCACAGAAACACAACGGTTCAAATCTGAATATTTTTATGACTTGACATAATAAAAGTGGTCAAAACACACAATATTTCAGTGTCTGAAGTTATAATGTTTCTGTACAGTCTCTACGATTATTAAATAATTGTTTGGAGGTTCATCAGGGCTTTTATAAATAATGCATTAAAAACAGCAAACATGCCTCACTTTGTTCACAACAATAATCACCATCAGTTCTATCAGGTCACTTCACAATATCAACACATCCATCCATCATCCATCCAACCATCCATCCATCCATCCATCATCCATCCATCAATCATCCATCAATCATCCATCCATCCATCCACCTTCCACCCATCCATACATTCATCCACCCATCCATCATCCATCCATCATCCATCCATCCATTCATCCATTCATCATTCATCTATCCATCAATCGTCCATCCATCCATCAATCATCCATCCATCCATCAATCATCCATCCATCCATCCATCCATCCATCCATCCATCCATCCATCCATCCATCCATCCATCAATCATCCATCCAACCATCCAACC